AGAGGGAATTTCCACATTTATTTTTATTTACCAAGTACATATATCTCCTGCTATGTGTTAGATACTATTCTAAAGCGCTATACAAAGATTTACTTATTTAATACCATCTATAAGAAATCAAACTAGACTACAAAGTTATAATAATTGAAGTACTGTGATACTGGCATAGGAGGAGAACTCTAGACCAATGACAAGGTATCATATCAGGTAAGGTCCTATGAAAACAGATACCAGATGAATGAGAAGTGCAAGAGATTCTTTTGGGGAAAATACCTATAAAAAACAAGGGAGAGGGGCTGGAGTTGTAGCTCAGTGATAGAGCACTTGCTAGCATGTGTGAGCCCCTGGGTTCTCAGCACCACATATGAATAAAATAAAGGTTCATCAACAACTAAAAATATATATATTAAAAAAAGAACAAAAGGGAGAAGGAGGGCCTTCCAACCACCATGCAATTTCAATATCTATGCAAGAAGATAGAAAAGCTTTAGATTATATGATTCTGAGAAAAATCTCATCTAGACCAATGGAAACCTCCAGAAAGGCTGCCTTTTAGAAGAGCCTCTCTTGGGACAGAAAAGATCCAGCTCTATAGCCCCACTGTGTTCAGTCATTGGAAGGGGTCCAGAGGGAGTGTGGCTTCAGTGTGAACACTGAAGTGGATTTTGGAGGTGTGGCTGCTGGAGGCCAAATACATTTCTTACAATGGGGTCTGTTTTGAAGGGACAACTGAAGAGTGTGCCTTTGTGGCCGCCTGAGGTGTTTTTTTTTTTTTTTTTTGGTTATCCTCATTTGCCTTTTTCTATTGATTTTTCTTCCAACTAAAGAGTAACCTCATATATCTGACTTTTTTGCATCTCCATAGGCAGAATCTCATACTTTGCATATCATTTTCAAATTAATATTTTGTTTTTGAATTAATTTTGTTTTTAATGATTAGTAATGAAAACCTAGTCAAAAATCTAATATGAAAGATTGAAGAACAGATTCATTCATCTATGTGAATGCACTGAAAATAATTTAGGCATTTCAAATGAGTGGGGGGAAGTAGAATATTTAAATAAATGATGGTGAAATAATTGGCTAACCATTTAGAAAGAATTAATTTAGATTCCTATTTCACATCATCCTTAATATAAGTCAAATCCAGATGGAGAAAAACATTTCAAAAATATTTGAAGAAGAAAAATTTTAGAGTATTCTTGGCATGGAAAAACTTTATGCAAAATATAACATACAGAAGCCATAAGAGAAATGACTGAAAGAGATTTGATGAAATTACTATTTAAAATTTCTGTATGGAAAAAGGCATCATAAACAAAATTAAAAGTCAGGTGATAACTGAGCACAGTGCAGTACACCTGTAATCCCAGGTTGAGGCAGGAGGATCATTTGAACTTGGAGTTCAATGCCAGTTTAGGCAACATAGTGAGACCTACTCTCAATAAACAACCAAAAAGCAGATACCTCCCCCCAGCAAAAAAAAAAAAAAGTTAGGTGGTAGTAGATTTGGATAAAATATTTTTGCTATATTCAACAGGCAAAAAAGTGAAAATTATTGGGCATGAATTAAACGTATTGCTGGAATTCAATGTTTGTAATTGGTGAATAGTATAGCTCAATGATGGCAATTAGGTTTGAACTGGTTCTCTGGGGTGAAAGGAAATGCCACATGGATGGGATACCACATCCCATTTATAGTTGGAAGAAAGAGAGAAAAAAGTGGAAACCCCTCTGTCTCTAACCAGGAAAAACCTTCCTAGATTCCTTATAGGCTTGCCTGTTATTGGCCAGAATTCCTACATGGCTGCTTCTTTAGGATAGCTGGAAAAAATGAATATTTGGCTTTTCCAGCCTTTCTAGTGGAAATGGGCAAGGAAGAAATGATTTGGAAATAGGTTTTAATTTAGTAAATCCTCAACATTTGCCATATCTACAGGAAAGAGAATGGCAATGTTTGTACAAACTATGATATAACCTTGCTAAGGAAAACTATGCAGCAAAATAGCTAAGTCTGTATAGACTAATATGGAAAGATTTCTAAGATGAAGAACAGAACATACAACCTGATATTATTTACAAGTACATGTATATATGTGTGTACATACATAATAAATAATACATAAAATATGTAATTATAACATATATTATACATAGTAGTTACCTCTGGGGCTGGGAGAAGAATTGAAGCAGTGAAGGATCTAAATTTTTATGCTTCTGTACATTTAAATTGCTTACATTAAGAATGGGGTCCATTTTTTTTTTGTGGTACTGGGGATTAATCCTAGGGGTGCTCCACCACTGAATTACATCTCCAGCCCTTTTTATATTTTATTTTTGGACAGGGTCTCGCTAAATTGTCAAGGCTGTTTTTAAACTTAGAGTCCTCCTGTCTTGGCCTCCTAAAGTGCTGGGATTACAGGCATAGGCCACCATATCTAGCCTGTATTTCTTGATTGATTAGAAAAGAAGCATCAAGTAATTACTACCCTTCTTAAAAAACAAAAACAAGAAAGTAAAACCTCAATTCTCTTCTTTGTCTATGGAATACTATTTTTCTCCCCACACCTTTTTCTTTATTTATTCCCATGGCTGCACCCCATTTCTATTAACTTGTGTCCTGTAGATTGCAAGTAGACTTCTGATATTCATCCCTCCAGTCTTTCTTTACCCTGGTCCTGCAGTTCATAGTCACTTACTTTCCCTAAGACCAGGTTTATTTCAATCATCCCTGTCCACAAATCTTTTTTTATTTCCACAGAGTATTCAGAAGGATGCCAACAGTATCCCATAGAAAAACAATTCTGGGGCTGGGGATTTAGTTCAGTGGTAGAGTGCTTGCCGAGCACTTGTGAGGCACTGGGTTTGATCCTCAGCACTGCATAAAAAAATAAATAAAATAAAGGCATTCTTGTCCAGTTACAACTGCAAAAAAAAAAAAAAGAAATTAAAAAAGAAAAACACTTCTGTAGTGTGTTGAATTGGGAAATGCTGTGTTAAACACTGTTAAAAAATATATCTTCAGAGGGGAATATCTATAGACTTTAAAATGCCAAAGTGCTAAGGGAATCTCTAATGGGGGAGACTATGTAGTTGTTCTCAATTTCACTTGACCATGCAACTCTTCTTTTGAGGAACACTTTGTCCTTCTCAGAACACACAATGAGAAACAAATGACTTAAAAGGAAAAGTTCATGATGATTCTGGCATTCATGGCTTTGCACAACATATTTATACCCTATTTCCTCCACTCACTTCCCCAAATGATTTTCCTTCCTTGCTCCCTCCTTCAGGGGTTAGTGCTAGTTCCTCTCCCTCCAGGGAGTCCTTCCTAATTATCTGTTTCTCTGAGCTGTTAGTTACTCCTGAAATGTCTGGTTACTGGCAGTCTGCCTTTTGTGGGGCCATCTTGTCTATCTAAGCACTGGGATTGTCTGAGAAATAATCAGTGGCACACAGGTGTCCTACAAATATTTTGCTGCTTAAGGAATATCATGCATCTCTCCTAGCTTAAATGCTCACCTCCTGGGAGTATTTAGAACCTTAGATGAACCTCTTGTCACCTTATACTGGCAGAAATCCTAGGCTCCTGGCTCCCTTCTTCCATCTTCAAAGGTGAGTTCAGGTCTTGTCACACCACATCACTCTGACCTCTTTTGCTTCTGTTTTCCACTTTTTCTTTTTAAAGACGTTTTAGCTGCAGATGGACATTATTTTATTTATTTTTATGTGGTGCTGAGGATCAAACCCAGTGCCTCACATGTGCTAGGCAAGTGTCCCACCACAAAGCCACAACCCCAGCTCCGTTTTCCACTTTTAAAGGACATCGGGCCTACTCAGATAATCAAGAGTAAGTAGTATTCTTATTTAAGGTCAATTGGTTAGCAACTTATTCTATGTGTAAGCTTAATTCCTTTCAGTCAGGTAACCTAACATTCAGTTGCCAGGAACAGGAAAGAGGACAAGTGTGAAGGAGCCATTCTCTCTTCTACACTCTTGTTCAACAGTCTAAATTGAGAGTTTGCATATAGATGGCAGGGGATAATGAGTGGGAAAGGTATTTGGGAATTTTGTAATTCAAGATTCCTTTCAAATACAAGGAGGCTCTGAGGCTTGACCAGAATTGACATTTCCCCTAAAATGCAGATTCCGCAAAGCCATCCATTGCTCTGCGTGTTAGATGAAGTTAGTTATGTAAACGGGCTTAGCTTAGAGGCCAACAAACAGGACTCAAGAAGTTCTTGATGAATCTTGATGAGGAGGGTGGGCGAAGTTCTCTGAGTGACATCTGGAGATAGTTTGAGAGATTTCCGGAGAGGAGTGGGTGAGAAGCGCCTGCCCTTGACTGAAGCTGAGTGAAGAAAATTCCAGCAAAATAGATCGTTTTGTTAAAGCTTCTGAATCAAGGGCTTGGCAGAGGGCTCTGGTTTTAAAAAGTAGCTAATTATCAAACCTCCAGGCAGTGGATCCTGAACAGAATGAGGAAATTTGTGTTTTTTATAGGCAAAGATTATATTTCACTTAATTCAAGGCTCGATACATGGCAGTAGTTTCATTTCTTATTAAGATCGTAAACGAATTATTAAAAAGTTATGGGTATAGGTTCCACCGAGATTTGAACTCGGATCGCTGGATTCAGAGTCCAGAGTGCTAACCATTACACCATGGAACCGCCACGCGCGTATAGCCGCCTTCAGCTGCCTAATCCTTAGAGAACCCCGCCCCCATGCACAAACCCACCACCTAAAGGAGGCTCACGCCTCTCAGTACGCCGCTTCCCAGCATGGTGGCACAAGAAATGAGCGAGGGGCCACCAGAACTGTGGTCAACAGTGAACTTAAGACTGAAGTTTCCTACATGAGCCTCCTTTAGAAGCGAGAATTTTTAAAGACCGACGCTACGCGAAGAGGAACTCCCACACTCCTCCCTTCGCGGCTCAGGGGCGGGGCACGACGCCATCTCCCCGGAAGTACTTCCCCTTAGGGGCTGGGGCTTGCCGGAAGTGGCGCAGCGGCAGGGAGGGACTCTTCACCGGGTCCGGCAGCTGAAGCTCGGCGCTCGGGTTACCCCTGCAGCGACGCCCCCTGGTCCCACCGGTACCACTGCTGCTCCCGCCCCTTCGCTCCTCGGCCGCGCCATGGGCACCCGCGACGACGAGTACGACTACCTCTTCAAAGGTGAGGCTGTCGGCTCTCGCACTGTCGACCAAGTCCCGTGCGGGGGCCCGGGACACTCCCGGGGGACCCGCGTGCGGGCCGCCCCTGCACTGAAATGGGCCTGCCTCAGTCAGCCCTTGGTCCTGCGGTCCCCTGGTTATCGCCTCTCCTCCCCTCAGACGGTGGGTCCGATCACACATTTGTCTCCTAGCGGGACCCGTAGGCCTCCGTAGCCTGAGAGCCCCTCACCGTGTCCTTCTCACGGCGGACTGCTTTCTCCGAAATCGTGTAATTCCTTCCCTGGGTTCTGGGGCTCCGCCGCCCCTCCCACCATCTCTGGTTTCGAGCTTAGCGCCCCCTCCCTTTCTGGATGCTCTTTCCCCGACTGACATCCCCTCCGACCGGCCCTTCTCTCCTCTGGGCTTATCCTTGGCCGCGGACTCCCACTACAGGTCTTTTTTTTAATCTGCCCCCCCTTTCCCTGGGAGTGAGCCTTTCCTCTGCGTCTCCTCATCGCCCCTCCCTCGGGTGGCCGCCCCTCTTAGCTAGATTCTCCTGTCCCGGGGCCAGGTCCTCATAAAATCAGAGCGGGCCGAGGTCCCCCACCCCCACCCCTACCCGCCTCGCTGTTCTCGCGGTCAGTAACCTTCTGGTACTGCTCCCTGGTTCCCAGCTGATAGGCACCCCTCTCTCTCTGCCTGCCCTCCTCAAATTGTGTTTAAAGCTCCTGTGTCTTCTCCGGTACGACCCGGGTGGTGGATAGGAGGGCAGAAGGGGTTGTCCATCACCCACGCGCGCACTTGTCGCAGTGACCCGGCAGGCTGATAGGACTTCCCACCTAGCCTTTTTTCCTCCTGCTGTCTTTACCCAGCTGCAGCTAGCCCGGGATAAATCTTCACTTCGTTCGCGAGAAAGGGTTGCGGATGGGTGGTGGCTGTATCCTTGCCAGACCTGAAGGCCCAGTTCCTGAACAGGAAAGGTTGTGCCCTGCCCAAATACTAGCTTGCTTATCACTATGGACTGGTTGCTTCCTGCTGCAACACTGGGAGGATCCAACAGGAAGGGAAGAGCCCTAGTTGGCCGTATACCTTTCCCAAACGGTGGGAGGTGGGGTGGGTGGTGGGTGGTATTTGTGTACTCTTTTTGGTTAAATTTATATTTATTATAAGGTAGGGAAACATGTAGTGCCCGTGGACAGATATTGGAGGATGGGAAGTGGGTAGAAAGCAGTGCTTATGAGTTGAGTCTGAAAAGAATCCAAATAATTTTTTTTCAATCAACAAAGATAAAGGATACAGCTTTCACTGAGAAAAGACTACAGTGAATGCTTTTTTTGTTCAGTGAATGGGCTCTCACTTTGATAGTCTTTTTCTGCTGCTGAATTAGAAGGGCAGCAATCAGTAGTGTGCTGAACAAAGATCTTTACCAGGGGGGAAGAAGCCATTGCTATTAAAGCTTTACTGTGGAGGGTGGAGTTTAAAAAGAATATTCAGCATGATGACTTTTCCTGACTTTGCCATTGGGTGCTAAGAATGATTGACTAAACAAAGCAGGAAACATTTCTTTGCTTTACCAATACTTTGCAAATCTTTTATACTAGCTGATGATATATACTTACTCCTCTGAGAAGTATATTCTATTATATAGGGTGAGTATCTTTCTTATCACCCTTTTCTTCATATTGGAAGGTAATTTTCAGATAAGAGTATTTAATTTTACAACTACAAAAAGGAGACATGGAGTATTTGCACACTGTTTGCTGAAGGCATCTGAAGTGACATGAAATTACTTGAGTCCCTGGAGACTTTGGGGTTTAGTCATTAAAGGGAGGTTTGTTTTTTAAAATACTGTATAATAGCAGTGGGCAGGTAGCTTCCTCTGAAGTAATTTTGAACAAGATAGACTATCAAGGTATTTCTCTTGTTTGTTATAGAAAGCCCCTCCTCCCAAAGATGATAATTTTCCTGGATTGGCTTATGGAATTTTAATTTAGTTTTGGTGTTAAACCATCCTTCTAACAATGAGAAAATAGAGCTTTGGAATCACACCTGGTTTAAAATCCTGATGAGTTAACATTTGCATTGTGACCTTGTGAAAATTAGTTTTTTTTCTTTTTTGAGCCTCAGTTCCTCATCTATATAAAGGAAATACCGTAATACCTGTTTCTCAGAAGTGTTGTGATGAATAAACAAGTCAATGAAATTTTAGCTCCTGAACTCAGTAAATGGTAATAAGATGAAAGAAGTGACTGACTTTTTTTTTTTAGTTTCTCTTAAATCTTTGTATATTATAAGAGCATTTACATATTAGTGAAGAAACAAAACTAGGAAATTTCTAAAGCATTTTATGTTTTTATGTGTTATTTTTTCATTTTGTTGAACATTTTGCTGTTTAAGGTAGGGTGTTTAAAAATTCTGCTGAGAAGAATTTCCACTTTTTATAAACTCCTACAGGATATGAGTCACTTTTTTTTAAAAAAAACCTCATTGTTGATTACTTAGCCAATTTTTTATTTATATAATTATTTTAAAACAAAGCAAGAATCATTTTAAAGTGATTTTATTTTGTAGAGATTTATTCTCTAAGATGAACTGCAGCTATATCTACTTGGAAGAAGGCTTACTGTAGCATACTTAATAGTTGAAAGAACTGGAGTTATAGTTTATAACTAACCAGTTGAAAATAAAGAGATATTTTTATAAGTATGTGGTGGAATGGTGTAAGGGTAATGTAATGTGGGGAGAGTTGGGAAGTTATTCTAAATTATGTATTTGTTTTGAATAAATTAATGTACATATATCTGTTCAAGCTCTACAGTGAGACTTTTGGGATGTGTATGTTTGGGGCTAGGCGGAATAAGATTTAAAAAAATTTTTTTTTTAGATTTAGTGAACCTTTATTTTATTCATTTATTTATATGCGGAGCTGAGAATCCAACCCACTGCCTCACACATGCTAGGCAAGTGTTCTACCACTGAGCCCCAGCCCCAGCCCAGGAATAAGTTTTTTTATGAGACACAGGTGAAGTGAACATCAGTCATAGTTTGTGTTTACATATATTGTGGAAGAAGCAATCCATTTGCAGTCACATATTCTGAATATTACTGGGAAGGTAGATGGTTATTTAGGGCATTTTCATTAACCATCAGCTGACTATACGAATGATCATAGGAACATCGCTGTTGTACATCTTGGTAGTTTTTCTTTCACAACTTTTGGTTGAGCAACTTGGTTTCTGCTGAATCTGGAAAAACTTGCTAGACTTCTGCCTTACTGAATGTATTTTAAAGACTTTTGATGAGATTGGACTATTAATATAGTTTAGAAATTAGAAATATCTTCAAGTTTATGAAAACCAGTGTGAAAATGATCAGTTACTCTTTCAGTTGATAATATCTAGAGCTGATGTGCTATATGTGATGTATTGGATTAAATTTTCATTCAGTAAATTAGTTTGTTGGAGAAAGTATAAAACTAAGTGATTGAAGAGGTGGGAAATTTTTATTACATAATGGATAATTAATATGTGTATTCTGCTTTATAGTATTTAGCAGTCTGATCTTTGAGTTCTGTATATAAACAAATTTAGTATTAGGTATTAGAGATAATGTTAAATTTCAGAGGATAAGGCTAACCAACTGAAGATAAATACTGTCAGATTATTTTGGAATTTCAAAAATGTTTAGTTTCGGGCTGGGGATGTGGCTCAAGCGGTAGCGCGCTCACCTGGCATGCGTGCGGCCCGGGTTCGATACTCAGCACCACATACCAACAAAGATGTTGTGTCCGCCGAGAACTAAAAAAAATAAGTAAATTAAAAAAAAAAAAAAAAAAAGAAAAAAAAATGTTTAGTTTCTGTTATTTAATGTTTAGATTCTGTTATTTACCTTGTTATTTACTACATGTGTGCCATATAGATGGCTTATAATTGTAAAATGTTTAAAGGGAAGTACTAAGATACTAGTCATAGACAACAGAGAAAAGTTATTGCAAATTCTTTTCTTGAATAATAGAATAATCATTTAGTTTATCATATTTTTAAAAAGCAACCAAGGAATTGGGGGTGTAGCCCAGTGGTAGAGCTTTTATGCACAAGGCTCTGGGTTAAACCCCCAGAAATAAAGAAGTAATTAAATATTGTCATCTAAATGAAAAAAACTGCTTTAATCATAATTATTTAAATTTGAGTCAATTAAGGAAGGTCTGTGAAGTTTTGTTTTTTAACTCATCATAGCCAGTTAATTCTCTTATGTTGCTTTCATCTTTCTATTTACTTATTAGTGAACCTAAATATAACCCTACCTGTTTTGATTTCTCATTTGGTAGCTGAATACAAGCAGCTTTCCTCAGCATCTTTTTGGCAAGACTATTCTTCTAAAACCATGTCTTCTGTTGTCATTTAAGATATCCTTTAACAAGTTGCTAGTCTTAATTCTGTCAAATTTGCCCAGTCTAGTTGAGATAATTATTATATATTATATAAAGCATTCGTGAATTTTGAGTTATTTTCAGATGAATGTAACTTCTTTATAATATTAAAATTAATTGGTTACATTGAGGGAAAAAATTTCCCTCAGTGTCTCTATCTATGGCAGCATAAGGATTTGAGGTTGGTGAAATAATGAACTTAATCTAGTTAAAAGTGGAGGTCAAAAGGGAAGAACCCAAAACTTGAATTCTAATTTTCTAAAGGTGATGTCATTCTAGATGTCTTGTTCACATGACTGGCTCATGAATTACTGATTGATATGAAGTGCCTATAAAGTAGAAGTGTTCTAATCTTTTATTTTTTCCTTTAGCTGTTCACACCTCAAGTTAGTATTTTATACTGCTCAGGTAGGGCTAGAATTGATTTAAAAATTTCTTCAGCAGAATATCTAGCCTCTTGTATTAAGCTTCAGTGATTGTATTCTATTAATAGGTAGACTATTATTGAAACTGGGACTTGACTTTGTAACTAGAATGGTAGGCCTTGGGAACTAACCTATCAGCTGATCATCCTATAAAATTTAAAGGGGATTATTTTTGTACATTGTTTTCATGACCTTGCCATCTTCTTCCCTCATATCCAAATAAAAGCATGTAATAATATATCTGTGTTTGCCACAGCACCTTTGACATCCTGTACTTGACTGTATAGTTAGAAATAACTATTCTTTGTGCTACATGGAGTCACTGCTGCCTGGATGATTTCTTGCTGAATCGGCTGATAGGGGAAGCCAGAAAGAGATATATTTGATAATGTCCTCTGTCCAAGATTGTTTAGAGGCCAGCTTATATTAGATTCTGTTACAAGAAATGAATACATAATGGACTCTTTTTCCTCTGACCAGAGTGTAGTGAGATCATACATGTTTTTACCTCCCTTTCCACCTGTATGACCAAATCCCCGTCTCCTGAGAAAGGCCTGGTCTGATTCCTTGGCCTTATTCTTGTATGTGGGACTTTATAGTCCTGGTGTTTAAATTCATCAGCTAGTTTAGATGGTAAGAAACATTAGTGATCAACAGTAAGAATAAATGCAGTGCTTCCTGAAATGCCAATAACAATTTTTACAAAGGAAAAAATGGTATCTACCTCAGATTCTGTAAACTGATGAACTCATTTCGGTCTTTAATTCACATGGGAAATGCTTTAAAACTTTTTTCCTCCTTATTGGGGATTCAACCAAGTGGTGCCCTGACCGCTAAGCAACATCCTTAGGCTTTTTCTTTCTTTCTTTCTTTTTTTTTTTTTTTTGCTGATGATTAAACCCAGGGAGTTGTTCATACTAGGCAAGTGCTCCACCACGTAGCTACACCTATTCTCCTTTTATTTTTTTTGTTTTGAGACAGGGTTCACTAAGTTGTTGGCTTCTAACTTGCAGTCCTCCTGCCTCAGTATCCAGAGTAGCAGAATAGCCAGGGATTATTGGTGTGTTTGCTCCCATTGTTTTTGAAATTCTTAAAAGTATGTTATTCCTTAGGTGAAAACATTAGTAAATAAAACTGCCTCTTACAGAAATCACAGGAAGTAAATTCATCTAATCAAAGCCCATTTTTAAAAAAATTCATGAAGTCATTAGTAAAAGTATGTGTCCTTCTTGCTTTGGTTTTGACTCACAGTATGTCAGTTATTAGTTAACTTCCTAGGGCCTCTGTTTGTTTGTTTGTTTTTTGGAGCAGGGGATTGAACCAGGGGCACTTAACACTGAGCCACATCCCCAGCCCTTTTTTTATATTTTTACTGGAGACAGGATCTCACCGAGTTTCTCTGTACCTCACTAAGTTGTTAAGGCTGGCTTTGAACTTGTGGTCCTCCAGCCTCAGCCTCCTGAGCCACTGGCTTTACAGGTGTGTGTCACCACACCTGGTTTAGGGCCTCTGTTTATCCTTAGGGAGGTGGGGCTTTTATTTGTGGAGGGGGGGTGCAGGAGTGTTATTCTTTAGCTTTGTGTCAGTCTGATAAATTCAGCTATTAAGGTCATTGTGGTTTCTATGAGTAAAGGTCATTGTAGTTTCTGTGATCTGAACAGCGAAGTTTGTAAACCTGATGTCTCATACTTTAAATGTTTCATCTTGTGGAAGTAGTCTTACCATCATATTTGATCTTTGATCAAGCTAAGTGGAATGTATTCATTCTCTTCTTCTCCATCCACCAACATCATTTTATTCAGCACCCTGCTCCTATCCCTTTTAAAAATTCAGATGCCTTTTTGTTGTTTTTTTTTTTATTTCTGATGCTTTTTTTTGTACTGGGGATGGAACTTATGGCACTTGACCACTGAGCCACATCTCCAGCCCTATTTTGTATTTTATTTAGAGACAGGGTCTCACTGAGTTGCTCAGTGCCTCACCATTGCTAAGGCTGGCTTTGAACTCGCCATCCTCCTGCCTCAGCCTCCTCAGCAGCTAGGATTACAGGTGTGCACCAGTATACCTGGTTCTGGTGTATTTTAATATCATGTTGATATAGCATTGGTAGTAATTGACTAGTGTGCCTATGATTAAAATTGTGTTTTTCAGGGCTGGATGCATAGGTTTTTGGTAGAGTGCTTAACTAGCATTTGTGAGGCCCTGGGTTTGATTCCCAGCATTGTTCCTTCACCTCAAAAAAAAAAAAAAAAAAGAGGGGTAGGTAGGTACTCTTTTTAAGACAGCATACTGTATTTGTGCAGGTAGAAATAGGTTAAAGAGAATAGACTGGTTTTATCACTTGGTAGGTCATAGGTCAAGAGCATGGGCTATTCAGTACCTTGTTCCCATCCCTTTTTAAAATTCAAATACCCTATCTTTTTTTTGCTTTATTTACTCTGAAGCCAAATTGCATTCTGTTGAAATTGTGAAGATATTCTGAATGTTTTTGCCTCATTAATCTGACGTTAATTTCTTCTTTTTTAGTTGTCCTTATTGGTGATTCTGGTGTTGGAAAGAGTAATCTCCTATCTCGATTTACTCGAAATGAGTTTAATCTGGAAAGCAAAAGCACTATTGGAGTAGAGTTTGCAACAAGAAGCATCCAGGTTGATGGAAAAACAATAAAGGCACAGATTTGGGACACAGCAGGGCAAGAGCGATACCGAGCTATAACATCAGCGTAAGTTTCATGTGTTTCAAGTTCTTTGAAATAGGTTGGCATCTAGTGAATTAGCTGACTTTTGGTATTGGAAAAGGTAGAATAGTCCTTCATTAACCTTGGGTAAACATTCTAAGACCCCCAGTAGATCCCTAAAATCACACATAGTATTAAATCCTCTTTTTTTTTTTTTTTTTTCTCTCATTTAATAGAAGAAACACTTTATGGCTTTTTCTTTCAGGTATTTGAATTACCAGCATCACTACTTTTGTTTTTGAAGTCATTTTTTAAAATATTTTTTTAGTTGTAAATGGACACAATACCTTTATTTTATTTATTTATTTTTATGTGGTGCTGAGGATCAAACCCAGTGCCTCATATGTGCTAGGCAAGTGCTCTACCACTGAGCCACAACCCCAGCCCTGAAGTCATTATTAAATAAGGGTTAGTTGAACACAAGCACTGTGATACTATGACAGCTGATCTGATAACTGTGAGGGGTTCTAAGTGACTAACAGGTGGGTACTTTATGCCATATGGATACACTGGGGAAAGGAATAAATCATGTCCTGGCCTGGATGGAGTGGGAGCTTATCATGCTACTCACAATGGCACTGATTTGTAGCTCATAAATTGTTTATTTCTAGAATTTTTGTCTAATATTTTTGGTCTATGGTTGACTGCAGATAACTGTTTAAAGTGATATTGCATATAAAACGGACTGTTATACTGTTTTCTTTTAAGAATTCCAATATTAGGAATTTGTAGAAATTATAAGTATGGTTTTGAAAAAATATATGATCCATATCTTGAGTTCTTCCTGGTGTTCACTTTTATCTGTGTTTGTTTTTTTGATAGTTAAATATATGTTTCTGTTTTCAGGTACTATCGTGGAGCTGTAGGTGCCTTATTAGTTTATGACATTGCTAAACATCTCACATATGAAAATGTAGAGCGATGGCTGAAAGAACTGAGAGATCATGCTGACAGTAACATTGTTATCATGCTTGTGGGCAATAAGAGTGATTTACGTCATCTCAGGGCAGTTCCTACAGATGAAGCAAGAGCTTTTGCAGGTTAGTAATATGAATTCCATGATATTACAGAATTCCATGATATTACAGTGATTCAGTATTTGTTACTGTTAATGTTTTGCAGTTTTGTTATACTTCCAATGATGGTAATAGATCTTAATAGTTTCAGAAAGATAATAATGGTCAGGCTGGGCAAGGGCTGGAGATGTGGCTCAATGGTTAAACACCCCTAGGTTCAATCCCTGGTACCAAAAAAAGAACAGTCAGCAAGAATTAACTGTTTTGAAAGTTCATTGTGCTGATTCTGGGTCTAAATTCCTAGGGAGTGTTAGGGACCATTAGGGATTCCACTACTTAGCTATAACTTTTTTGTCTCTTGCCTGAGTTCTGGTGTGGACATTTCGGTAGATGCAATTACCTGAAGCAACATTGTGCATTCTTGGCTAGTAAATGTCATGACCTTGCACTAGTTATTATATTGTAATACTTTAACATATTTTAGTGTAGTAGGCAAGAAGCAGCTTTATTTCAAATAATACAGTTACAGAATTCTTAGTGATAGCATAGCTGTGTGGTTGACAGGGAGGATAGTGAAGGATGAAATAGCTGAGTGTTTGATGAGTTTTACTATATTTTAGTAGTATCATTCATTGCTAGTGGTAGTATTTAGATACAGCAAGTTATTTATTTTAATTAAGAACCCATTAACCAGGTATGGTAGTGGGTTCTAGGGTTCTATAGTCTCAGCCACTTGGGAGGAGTTCAAGAACAGCCTGGGCAAAATAGCAAGACCCTATCTTATTTTAAAAAAAAAAAAAATCTGAATGAAATTTCTCACTGTTATTTTTAATCTACTAAAATGCAAATTTAATGGTGCCCTTAACAGTCCAGAAGTTGGGGAGGTCTAAGAAGTTATTTCCTTTTTTGAAGGCCAGGGTAAGCTCATTGTAAGAGTGACTACTTAGTATGTGCAAGACCCTATGTTAGATCCTCCAGCACCATGGGGATGGGGGTTGAGAAGAAAGATTGTTGACTTCTTACTGGAATCAGATCTTAGACTGAAGATACTGCTCAGTGGTAGAGTGCTTGTCTTAGCCCTTGCATTGTGAGGCCGCAAGTTTGATCCCTAGCACTGCAAAAAAACAAAACAACCCCGAAACTTAACAAGACTGAAGTTTTTGTGTCTCTCTGCAGAAAAGAATGGTTTGTCATTCATCGAGACATCTGCTTTAGACTCCACAAATGTAGAAGCTGCTTTTCAGACAATTCTAACAGGTAAGCCATTTTCATGTTTTATCAGTGGGATTGGAAGTTTTAGGAAGGGAATTTAAATTAATTAATCAGGAAACTATATATTATACCATCTGGGACCGTCATTTGAGAGCTACCAGAAAGAGTGGTTTATAGAGTATAAAATTAGGTAGAACCCTTGCTTGTTGCAAGCACTTCAATCATCCTAATTCATCCAGTTTATGGTGGGAAAAATACTTTGAAAATAGTCGTTCACTTCCATATGTTTAGGTCATGTATTTTATACTTCATGGTCAAAATCACAGGTTAGGTTCAAATGTACTTTTACAAGGTATATATTCAGATCTTGGCTGTGGAAAGATATAAATGCCCTTTTGAAATTAGGCAAGGAAAATAAAAGGCTAGCGGGAATTATTTTTAAAAATCTAAGTGAAAAAAACAAGGGTAAAATTTTCCCATGATATATTATAGAAGCAAGATGTTACTTGTAGATAAAGTCAGCCAGTGATCCATATAGAAAAGTTTAAACAAATAATGGGAAAGGACAAAGTTCATGCTGTTTTGGAATGTGGATGACCAGGTCAGTCTCCCTAAAGACTTTTTTTTGTGCTGACTCATATTTACCTAACTTTTTATTTGACCAAATTACCATCAAATATAGTTTTAATCCTTTAATAAGTACTTTGATGGTTTGCTTTTAAGTAGTTTTAGATTGTGTATCACCTTTAAGAACTCATGAGTTATAGTCTTTAATATGGAATGCAGTCTTATGTGGCTGAAAAGTCTGTTATGTAGAATTCTTAATATTAGTTTTCCATTATGATGTAACAGGTTAACTTAGACTTTGTAGGCAGCACCAGTTTTTAAAGTATTCTCTTATTTTACTGTAAAAAATCCTAGGAATTAAGAGCATGGACAAGAAAGCCTTATGGTAGTCCTGACTCTTTAGCTTTTTATTAGCTCTGTAATCTTAGGCAAGTTTCTTAACCCTTAACAAGTCCTTAATTTGTTCAGCTGTAAAATTCAGATATGTTTTGGGGAGGTAATACTTTCTTTTTGAGAGAGGGCTTATGTTTTTAAAACCTTGAGATACGATTTGATATGGTCTAACTTGATTCTCATATTTCTGCTAATTTTTTTTTCTTTGTCTCTGTAACCCACAGAAAACAGTGTTCTGTCACTAAGATGTCTGCTCTATACTGTGAAAATGAGTATAATTAGGGCCTATAAAGTACTTAGCTATCCCTGAATATTTGATAAATTAGTAGTTAAATAGTAAGTAAGGCATGGCAAAAAAGAAATTTCTTGAACATAAAATAAACATTAATGATTTACATACCTATTTTATTAGAATCGTCTTGTTATCTGAAGAATACAGTTACTAAACAACTAGTGCTAGAGTTGGATAAACAGTTTGGGAACACAGTACTTTTCTTTAGAATTTTGTGTGTGTCAGGTTTCACTGCAGATTGTACCAAACAAAGTGAGATTTGACTAAATATGCAGTATGTCTGCAAGTTCTGCTTATTTTCTTTATAACCCCTTGTGTGGATTTTATTGAGTCAACATATAGAGTACTACATTGAGACCTAGGAATTTGAAGGTTTTTACTTTTTTAGTTGCTCCTATGTAATTCAAGTCACTGAGCCACTCTTGTCCTTGGATTCACAGTGTTTTAACACTTGTGAATTAAATCTCTTTAGAGGTCTGAGTCTCTTCATGCCTCTGAAAACCTCACTTGAGAAAACCTTTTAGGCAGTCCTCATTGTTAGGATATTTTTTATGTCCTATTAAATCTCCTCTACTGTAATTCTAGCTCATTTATTCCAATCTCAATTTCTAGCAGTTTGTTCTGGTACTAAGTGAAGATGAAGCAAGTTCTTTTTTCCATCTGGAGTTCATTGTTGTATGCATCGTTTTAACCTCAAACTTCTGACCCACTCAGACACAAACTTAATTAGCAGTGATGAATACTTAAATTAAGCTGTTTTGTCCTTAAAGATGAACATCTAGCTATTTTCTTAAAATTTTCCCTAGATTATTACTGTTTTTTTTTAAAAATTGTCAATGGACCTTTATTTTTTTTATTTATTTATTGATATGTGGTGCTGAGAATCGAACCCAGTGCCTCACAGATGCTAGGCAAGCGCTCTGCCACTGAGCCACAACTCCAGCCCTCTAGATTAAACTGTTTAAAAAAATTTTTTTTAGTTGTAGATGGACACAATAACTTTATTTTTCATTTATTTATTTGTATGTGGTGCTGAGGATCAAACCCACATGTGCTAGGCAAGCGATGTATCACTGAGCTACAACCCCAGCTCCTAGATCAAACTTTTGTTACTGCTAAATGTTGTTTGAAAGCAAAGACTTTTAGTTTTACTATTACTTTTCTACTTTACATTTACTGTTTCCTCAGCTTCCTGCATAATTCTGAGTGTTGATCCCCGGGATCAAAGGTCACTGCATATGGCAGCAGACCTCTGTGTTGTTTTGCATGTGTTAGGATGTTTGTTCTAAACTTTTCTTCCTTTTGTATTCCTGTGAGCATGGACAAAACAGGAAAGAGAATAGTAATCTCATTACAATTAATTATACCTTTAACATTAAGGAAGAGTTTATTATTTTAAAAAATTTTTTTAAAAATACTTTTTTAGTTGTACATGGACACAGTATCTTTATTTATTTATTTTTATGTGGTGCTGAGGATCAAACCCAGTGCCTTACATGTGCTAGGCAGGCGCTCTACCATTGAGCCACAACCCCAGCCCTAATTTGTTTTATTTTGATATTGTTGGAATAATAAAATAGTAGCTTTTTAATGTTTTTTTTTTTTTTTTTTTGTACTAGGGTTTGAACTCAGGGATGCTTAACCACTGAATCATCTCCCCAGCCCTATTTTTATTTTATTTAGAGACAGAATCTCACTGAGTTACTTAGTGCCTCACTTTTGCTGAGGCTGGCTTTGAACTTGCAGTCCTCCTGCCTCAGCCTCCCGAGCCTCTGGGATTACAGGCATGCTCCACTGCGCCCAGCTGGCTTTTTAATTTTTAAGATGCAGCATTATCTTGTATTGGAAAGTGTATCTGTGTTATTAAGAGTTAGTTGTAGGGCTGGGGATGTGGCTCAAGCGGTAGCGCGCTTGCCTGGCATACGTGTGGCCCGGGTTTGATCCTCAGCACCACATACAAACAAAGATGTTGCGTCCGCCGAGAACTAAAAAATAAATATTAAAATTAAAAAAAAGAGTTAATTGTAGTGTTTGTTTTAGAATAGACTGTGGCATTTGTGATATTCTTGACATCCATGCATTTCACAATGATTCTATAAGATGATTTTTTTCTTGGTGATACGAGTGATGAAACCCAGGGAGCACTACCACTTGTACCACCAAAAAAAAAAAAAAAAAAAAAAAAATCATCTTATGGAATCATTGTGAAATGTATGGATGAAACCCAGGGAGCACTACCACTCAGCTATATGCCTAGCCCTTTTTATTTTTATTTTGAGATTTTTGAGACAGGGTCTTCTAAGTTGCCTAGGCTGCCTCAAATTTGCCATCCTAACTCAGCCTCCTGAGTCACTGGTATTACAGGTATATGCCACCATACACAGCCTACAAGATGATTTTATTGGTGGGCATTGTTTTAGAGACAGATGGTACATGAATTAGCCTAGTAGATTGCTCAGAATCTGCATTTCAGTGCAGCTTTGTTTTTGTTCCTCAAGCTCACTAAGAAATGATTTCTAACCATGTTTATCATACTCTTATTTTTTCTTCTAACTTTGCATTTTGACAATTTCAAACTCAACAAAAGTTTGTAGTAGTAGTACAAAGAATTTGTAAATAATCCTTCACCCATATTTATTTATCAAATTGAAACAGATTGAAATCCCCCCCCCATAAGAACAGCTTTCTTATGCTGAGAATGGAAGCTAAAGGGCAGCAAACCCCCCCCCCCATCTGATATATGCCAAAGAAATTGAGAGCAGATATTGCCCCCTCCTAAGCCATGTGTTGCACAGGCTAACTAAATCCACATAGTACATTTCCTGCCTTTTGTCTCACTGCAGTGCCTCTTTTACTTTAAAGCTCTGCTTACACATGGTGGGGCTGCCTGTAATCTCATTGATTTGAGTGGCTGAGGCTGGAGGATTACAAGTTCAAGGCCAGCCTTAGTAATTTAGTGCAGATGAGTGCAACCCTGTCTCAAAATCTGCGCCACATCTGAGTAAGTGGCAGACATACTGCCTCTTATTCCTAAGTACTTTTCTGTATGTATTTTCTAAAAAACAAGGACATTTTTTTTTTCATAACTATAGTACAGTGATCAAAACAGACAGAATAGTGCTACATCAACAGCTATAGATCTAATTCTGATTTTGCCAGCTGTTCTTAGTAATTTTCTTACTAGCAAAAGAAAGTTTGAGATCAGGTCATGCATTTCATTCAGGTGGTTTATCTCTTCAGTTTCCTGAACCAGTTCCTTTAGATTTCTTTTTCTGGGGCTGGGTACTGGAGATTGAACTCAGGGGCCCTCAACCATTGGCTACATCTGCAGCCCTATTTTGTATTTTATTTAGAGACAGGGTCTCACTGAATTGCTTAGCACTTCTCTTTTGCTGAGGCTGGTTTTAAACTCTTGATCTTCCTGCCTCATCCTCCTGAGCCACAGGGATGACAGGATGCGCTACTGCACCCAGCTTTCTTTCTTTCTTTTTTTTTTTTTTTAAACATTGAGTTTTTGAAGGGTACAAGCCTGTTATTTTGTACTGTTTCTCAATTTGGGCTTGTCCTGTGTTTCTTCATGAAGACATTAAATTCATGTTATACACTCTCAGCAGGAATGCCACAGACTTGTTCTCAGTGCAAAGTCTTGTGGTAATTGGTTTATCTTAATTGTTACAGATGTTGTAATTTCTTTTCTTTTTTTTTGTATCAGGGATTGAACCCAGGGGCACTTAACCACTGAGCAACAGCCCCTTTCCTTTTCATATTTTATTTAGAGGTCTCTCCAAGTTGT